GTTTTTTCGAGACAGGGTTTCTCTGTGTAGTTTTGCGCCTTTCCTGGAGCTCACTTGGTAGCCCAGGCTGGCCTCGAACTCACAGCGATCCGCCTGGCTCTGCCTCCCGAGTGCTGGGATTAAAGGCGTGCGCCACCACCGCCCGGCTTAGCCTTTGTTCTTAAGTCACCTTGTCTCTTTAAATGGGGACAATGTGGCACCTGCCTCACGCTTGTGGCAAAGGTAAAAAGAACTACGGTGTAGAGCCCTGAGGACAGGTCTTGACACACATTGTAAAAGCTCAACAATTGCTCCTTTTAGGCACCACTGTGGTGTCACGGGGATTCCCAGAAGAGAAGAGGAAAGCAATAATATAATGGATCCAGGAGTAATCATCAATCCAAAACAATACCCAAAACATAGAACCGAGCGAGTGAGATGGCTCCAGGGGTAAATGCACCTGTCACCATGCACATGGCAGCCCTGCTCGTACCCTTGAGCTGAACTTCAGTTACTACCCACATCAGACTGAAGAACAGCTGGGAAGCGTAGTTCCAGCATGCAGCTTTGCAGGAGAAATTGAATTTGTGTCTGCCATTTTGAGAAAAATGAAGGCTGCTGGAACATAGACGTGCGCTCAGATCGTTGACTAGTTCACAGCCCCAGTAGTCGGAGTCTCCTTCCTGACACCTGTGGACAGACATCTAAACTCTCTGTTCTGCAATCACTCTGAGTCCCACAGCAGGCTCAACATGTCACTGAATCCTCAAGTTGCAATCTGGCGACCGGAGTCTTATGAATCATGTCTGAATGCATCTCCATTTTAGATCCAGTCTCAGGAATTGTGTCCAAGGGCACACCCTCCACAGCTCACTAGATTCCTCACATGGTTTGCAGAAGAACAAAGGACATCTTTAGATTCTAGTTAATGCAAATATCTTGAGCATTAAAAAATTATCTTGCAAGACCTCATACTTACTCCATTTTTCCACTGAAAAACATTTCCAGGGCAACAGAGATAAAAATAACTACAGTAAATCTGCAGTAGCCATTTGGGAAGTGGCTTTCTGATGGATTTCTGCCTACCTATAGTTGAAGTGTTTTAGTTGGAAAAACTACTCATTCCAGGTTATAATCAGACTACTCACACATACGTATCCTTCTACCATATTGTAGGCAGCAAATTCAATCAATTTCTCTTGACAGACATGCTCACCCACCCATGGTGGTTTAACACATAATTTCTCCTAATATAGAATGTTGGAGAGCAAGCCATTGAACTGAGCCATCAGGAAGTTGTAGATGTGTGCCATTGTATTTCTTTCTCTGTAAAGATCGGTAAGTAGCAACGATTTCCTCATCTTAACAACCCTTAGCAAAGGAAGTCATGAACTGTCAACATTTCCATAGACTTCGCTTGTGGAAAGCCTGTTGTAACTATGGAAGACTGACTGATCGTCTCGGTGGGGTTCCCTTTGGGTGCTTTTGCAGAGAAATTTCCTGGATAGAGTCTGTTGCAAGGAGCTGACCCTTCCTTCCCAAGCTGTGGGGAATAGCTATTGTAAGCCTGACTAATGTGTTTGGTGGGGGAGGGATCCTGGAAATTTTTCTGTCTCCACGATCTTTTGTTAGTTTTAGAACCTTGTTGATTGGGTGGAAAGAGGGACTATTTCCATGAAATAATATTTGGATTTTAAAAAGTATTCTTTTTTTAAAGTTATCATACAAAATGTTGGGCTGCACCTTGACATTTTTTATGCCTGTGAGTCAGTTTCTCTGTTCTGACTTCCCTCACCCAATGCCCTCTCCCATGCCCCTTTTATCCCCCTCTGGCCTGTTCCCTTCCCCCTCAATATGCCCCCTTCTGCTTTCATGTCAAAAGCATGTGTTCCATCACACACACACACACACACACACACACACACACACACACACACACACACACACACACACGCCTTAAGATCTTTCCTCTCATGATCTGCTTTCCAGCTCCTGAATTGGTATTTGAAGTATCTTTTTAGATCCTAGACAGAGGGGCTCATATCTAGCTTCTAATATTGTTTTCAAGTTCAGTGGTGGGGTTACAAAAGCACACTGGAGACCACCCCACTTGTGTGGGGAGTGGGTGGAGGGGGTTGCTGCCTTAGCTGCCCTGTTTTCACCATGGCAATAGGAATAGAATTTTCGGTCCTCTGTGTTCCGCCCTTTTTAAAAGTGGGCTTGCATAATACTGCAAGGACAAAGCAGTTGCCCCACTGAAAGCCAAATGAATGAATAAATTTGGTCTCTGGATTTTTGAGCTGTTGTGAAAGAGTTTTTGTTCTTGGCTCTCTTACACCCCCTCCCCTTAAATCACAGTTAGAACGCCTTTTTCCTCCCCTTCTTCAGATGATGCCCTTGTTATCCAAAATGTGATGTGTAACCCAGATAGAAAATTCTAAGTTAGTCATATAACTTAGTACCTGAGCAGTGACTTCTAGGGGCTATCTACTCTTTAAAAATTTTTAGCTTAAACTAAAACTTTCTTTTTAAATACTTCTCTGGCATTTCATGCTAAGCAAGATCCAGCACAGAGTTATTGTGCCCAGAACGAAAGTAATAAGCCCTCTAGAACCTGGTCGAATGTTTATGAACATTATTGAATTATTCTTTTTCTGAAAGAGGCTGAAACTGGAAGGGGCCTATTATAGAACAAGTTATTTCGAATTAATTTCTCTCCTCCTTTACCCATATTATCTCTTTTCTAATAACCAAGTAGCAATTTTAGATACTGTTTTCCTGCTACTTGAAAATATCCCAATAAGTTTTACCTAAATAATTGAATGGTTGGTTACTGTAGAAAACAAAGTGTTACCACTCAGGCTGAACTGTTAGACTGCATGCTGTAGAAAGGAAGCCCTTGGAGTCTGAAGCCCAGCTTGGCCCAAGGACATGCATAAGTCCCTAGGGATGCCAGACGTTCATCATCTCTTAGTGCATTTCAACTTGACCTCTAAAGTAATACTTTCCCACCATGTACAATGACTAGCAGGCTGTTCCTTCCATGTCATGATGGCTCTTTACAAGACATTCCTGTTGCCTTGGATAGAAATATAGAAAAACAAGGGGAAATTTTCATTTCCTTATAGGTGAACAGCTTAGCCAGATAAACAAAAATACTAAAAATACAAACCTCTTGCCCATTGCATTACTATTAAAAATTTCCATAAATGGGAGCTGGAGAGATGGCTCTATGGTTAAAAGCATTTCTTGCTCTTACAAAAGACGCAGGGTCAGTTCCCAGCACCCACATGGCAGCTCACAACTGGGTGCTGGAATTGAACCTGGTCCTCTGCCAGAGCATCAAGGACACTTAACCACTGAGCCGTCTCTCCGGCCTCCCTTTCCCCTTTTTCTGAGAACAGAACCAGATGTGTATTGTGTATTCAGGGAAAATAGAGGGAAGCACCATACCCAAGATAGAATGGGTCCAGATTGTGAGGAGATGAATTATTTATTAGTGTTTTAGTTTCCTGTAATGAGAACGGCGATGTCTCTGGATATTTATAATTGGCTGTGTGCATACAGCAATCTTGGAAGGTCTGGGTAAGGATCAAATGAATTGTGCTTAATTAAAGTGATTATACCAGGAACTTTGTGACATTGGTTTTTTTTTTATTTGAAAGTGAAAGGATATCTTCATTACTACAGAATAATTCCCCTCCTTCCAGCCACACAGTCTAGGGTAAGGCTTCTGTCTGTTTTAACACATTTAGCTAATGCCTAATAAGTTACACCACCAAGATACTGTCACAAACAAAATAGCAATTGTAATTTATGCACTCGGGGCCATTACTTTGTTCCTCTAAAGCATGGCTCTTTCTTAACATAATTGAATCCTTTATTCAAATGTTTGTGGTGCCTTTATGGCTGTGTGTTTATTATTTTTAAGAACAGCAAGTCCTCACTGCAGTCCACGTAGGCCACTCTGCTGTGGAGCGGGAGGGCAATGGAGTGCTGAGTGTCGCGACCTGTGTCCCAGACAGGTGCTGGCCACCTGTAGCTCTCAGAAGAGGAAGTCCCCCATTTCTTCCCGAGGGAATATGCTGTTTATCTGATGTTGAGACATGCCTTTTTAATTAAACAGCCATTAATTGTCAAATAAATAAATCAACTTGGTAACAAGATCCTGAAGAAAAACTTGATCAGCCATGCATTAGATTGTCGTGGGCCAAAATAGATGCACTCGCATGCCATGTCTGTAGTTCCTTGGAGGATGTTAAGGTGAAGCAGCTTTTGTGCAAACATTTGTTATGGGGAGGAGCTTGCTTTCAGAGCGCATGACGTCTGCCTCCTGTTTATGTCCTGGATCCTTTCCTCAGAGGCCAGTTAATACCTTCTCAAGTCATCTTCTTTAGCAAATACTGACTTTGGATGACATGGCCTGATTCTTCCAGTTCCGTTTCTGAGCTGTGTGTGTGTGGCCTTTGGTTCATTTGGCACTTTATCTGGAGGTCAAGAAAAGTTAGTGAAGATATTTACAGCTAAAAGTCTGCAGCATAGAAAACCGCTTGCTGTTGGCAAATGCCTCAAGCCAACATCAGGGCAGACTTCATGCAGGGATGTGGCCAGCACAAGGGGTTAGTGGAGGGACATGGTCAGGAAGCATTAGTCTCCAGGAATCCTTTCTCAGGCAGAGGAGCTACAACAGCATTGAGACATTAGGAAAATCCTCAACTATTTGGTTAGTATACACCAGAGGAAAAGGGAGGGAGAGGAGTCTGTGGGATCCAGTGGTGGTGTGTGTGTGCATCACAAATATATGCAAATAAATGCAATTGAAGCAGTGAAGGGAAACAGCTCAGAGCCTCATGCGGGCTGCAAAATTCTGTTACCAGAAGCAAGTCAGGCAGGCAGGCTGACTCAAGACCACCCTGTGTGGAAGCCCTGGGGGCGCTGTTGATCCAGTGACTCAGGTAAGGGTACCTGTGAGTCACTTCACTCTGGATTTATTTCCCTCTGTGCCAAGATCTCCAGTTGGTGTCCAGCCACTCCAGCAAATGACAACTTCAGCCACTTGTCTGCACAGTCACAAATACTTAAAGATGATTCATTGGCTTCTATATCATATAAGATTAAAGTAACAATACTTCAGAAAAGGGTTCTAGTTGATCAAATGCTTTTATATAAATTATACTTTTATATAAATTAATCTCCCTGATTAATCTTAGGTTTTGTGTATCTTCACTGAGTGTTGTGATTAAATTTTAAGTAGCTATCTAACTCTTTCATTCAGACATAAAATTTTCAGTTGAATCAAAAAGATACTTGTTTATTTTCATATGGGGACTGATCTGAGCCTCACTCAGATACCTGCCCTTGCCGGTGGGGGAGCCAGATCCTAGCCTTTTCAATAAAAACACTTTTTAATTTAAATAAAATTATTGAAATTTTTTAGCATTCATTAGTCATACAAAAAGTTTCATTATTACATTTCCATATGTGTATATAATATACTTTGATCATATGCTCACTTATTAGAAGTTGAAATCTTAATAAATTTATAAACAACATGGAAGCATTTGAGAACCTAAGATTGACTGTTTTTAAGCTTTAATTTGTTGTATTTATAAGAATCATTTTTTTTATAATAGGGCTTCTGAGGAGATTAGGAAATTAAACAGTAAACGTCCGTACAGTTTAAATTGTTCGAAGAGTTTGGTAAAATTAAGAAATGTAGCCAGCTGTTCAACAGAGGTGCCCAATGGGAATTGTTAACACTTGCTAACTTGCACTTGTAAAAGAGGATAATAACAGTTTTGCAAAGTTAGAATTCGAAATTTCATTTGAAAAGAACTCTTTAGAAATTTTCACTGTTCACAACCCCCCCCCCCCCCAAGTCTCCATCCTGCTGGGGCACACGTCTTCCCCAGACAGTGCATTGTTGAATGAAAAGGAAAGGCGTCCCACCAGACAGCGGCAAGCCCTGCCTGGGAAAGGCAGTCATGCTTTGGAAGGCATCGGGCTGAGCTGGAGTCAAGAGAATGCAGCCTGAATCACTTGTCGCTCCATTCACTCAGTTACCACACAGAGTAATAAATCCATGTCAGTCACACCCACGAGGCTACTTTAATGTCACCCATCGGCGACAATCAGACAAATTCCTTCCTTTGCTTTAATGGTGTGAGCCGTGCCATTAAGTCAGCTTTCTGCCAGAGAAAAGGGCCGTGGCTGCCCTCCAGCAGCTCAGACTAATCTTGCATGTCCTTCATTAGTACCTGTACCACATGCCTTCATTCACCCCGGAGCTCTCTAGAATTTATTCATCCTCCTTCTCTGCTGTGGCCTGGGAACATTCCCTTCATTTGCTGCACCTGTTTGTCGTAGGAGACAGATGCGCCCGCCCGAGAGCTTCCTTTGGTCTGTTGGTATGACTGCCTCAACACTGGCAGTTCTGCTTACCAGTCCTTACCTTCTTCAGTGTGAGTTTGTGCTCCAGAACCTTCTACTCATGCCAGACACGGCCCGGTTGATAGGGCCAACAGCCCTGAAGATGTTTGCATGGGCAGGGATTTGCCTGGAGAGGAAGGCTGGATGAAATGAGAGTAAATATTTCCAAGTGCACGGATCTGTCTCTCCAGGCACAGTGCTGTGAATCACGAGGCTGATCAGTGAAACACTACCTCAGATGCTCAAGAGGAAGCAAAGGAAGCTGACAGTCGACCCAAAACTGGAGCTGTTTCTTCACATGTTGTAGGCGGGTGAATCTGCTTTGCTGACTCAGAGAAGCAAAAGGCCGCCGACTTAGGCAAATAATGCATAAAGTTCAGGAAGATTTACTGAAAGTGAAATTAAATTCTGAGAGACGGGTGTGGGGGCGGTGGAGTGGGGAGGTCTGGGAGATAGTTAAGAATACCGGCTGCTCTTGTGGAGGACCAGAGTTCATTTCCCAGCACCTACTTGGCAGCTCACAGCCATCCTTCAATTTCAGTTCCAGAGGCTTTGATGCCCTCCTCTGGCTCTGTGGGCACAGAGAAACCTAAATACAGGGAGTGGTTTGTGAAGTCTTTGCTGCAGAAATGCAATGAAGTTGGTGGTTCCCAGACTTTATTGTACAGTAGAATTAGGAAATGTTTAAAATTTTTTACATTTGTCTGTTCATTTGTTCATTCATTCATTCTTTCATTCATTCACTCACTCATTCATTCATGTGTGTATACGTGTGGGTTACCCACACACATGTGTGCCCTATGCCACCTCACAGGTGTAGAAATCAGAGACAGGTTACTGGAGTCAATTCTCTTCTGCCATGTGGTTTTCAGGGATCAATCTCAAATGATCAGCCTTGTTAGCAATCATCGTTTACCACTGAGCTATTTATTGTGCTGGCCCTAGGAAATCATTAAACAACAACAACAACAACAACAAGACCTCGTGTTGGACTCCCACCTCCAGATATTCCAACTAGATTTGCATGGTGCATGCCTTGCATGGTGCATGCCTTGCATGGTGCATGCCTTGCATGGTGCATGCCTTGCATGGTGCATGCCTTGGACAGTGGGGGTTTCAGAAACTCCGGGCTTTGGAGGTAGAGTGAAGTTTAGGAGTTGGTGCTGTAGGCTGACACCTAAAACAGGAATCAGAATTGACCTGGTGAAGAATGCCGAGGGAATGTCTCTGTCTCCTTGAAGTTGAGAGGATTATCCACCCAGGGGATGAAGCAAGCTCTGTTACATCAGAATGGAAAATGGAGCTGTGGCCTAAGCCATCCTGCTCTTGCACAACACTGGAGACTAACTTCAGGAAATTTAAAGGAGTTAGGAGAAGGCCACTCTATGATCTGCTGGCCGCCAGGTCGTAAAACATGCATTTCAAACCAATTCTATCACATGCTTTTTTAATAGCAGGCTGTCCCAGAGCGAGCACAGAATGGTGCTTGCAGTCTGTCCATCTAGCTTTGTAAAGGTTTCAGCTATCTGTTCTTGTAGGTATGGCAACCTTGCCTGGTAAGAAGTTCAGTTGAGGCAAAAGCAGCAGCATTCTCCAGGCAGGAGTCCAAGTCTTCTACTTGGCAATGAAAACCAGAAATCATCCCAAACCCATGGCTGGGCCCAGATCCAACTCTGGGGATCAAGCACAAACATGGTTTCCCTAAGAAGGATAGGGCAGAGGCCTTGCGGGATCTTTACACCCCTAGACAATGGTGGGGTATTTCTAGCGTTTTATTCATGCATATATTTTGCATATTGTAAATGCCACCTAATGAGATCCTGGCTTTGCAATTATCATGCTAGTTAACAAAACATGACTTTCACCAGTAAACCCTCATTGTTGATGTTTATTTGCTATTGGCCCAGTTTCTGCTCTTGATTGATATGTAGACAGAGAAGAGCTTGCTCCGGCTGCTCTGGAGTGTGTCACTGGTGTGACCTTTTTAGCCTGGCCTGGTGTCCTTCATAGTGTGGTAGCTTGAGGACTCTTGAGGGCAAGAATGTTTAAACCAACTGGTATGTGCACAGTATCCTATAGATCAGACTTGGTGTCAGGGAGCTGATGGGGAGCTCAGAGCTTGGAGAGATTTGAAAGGAGCCCAGATGTCAGATACTGACTTCCGATCCTGTCTATACAAAGACTAGATAAGGACATAGAGGAAGGGAGGGAGGGACTGCTTGGATGGTCCCTTGGCAAGCCTGGGCAATGGCTTCATTGCCTAGCTCTCTGATGACTTGAATTGCCACTTGAGAAAAGCTGTTGTTTCTCACACAATGAGTTGATGGATATCTTCCCTTACTGTTCAATAATGGGAGATTTAAATGCTAGTCTGAAAACTCTTGACATGGTTATTAAATTATCTTGCTATCTCTCTGGGTCTCTGTATGTCTTGCTGGGGAATTCCTTCCTGGGGCCTTTGGCTCGCTGTTTTTCATTACCATCTTTGATCAAGAGAAAAATCAAAGTGAGGATCTTTGTGCTGTGGAGTCGTTGTCCTAACCTCTGCAGGCTGTGAGCTGCTAAAGACAAGGCAGGGACTTGGAGATCTGTGTTTTCTTTCTTTTTGATAGTGCAGCTTTGGGTGCTGGCTTGGTCTTTGTGGGGCTCTCAGTAGCAGAGATATTTACGATGCCTTCTCCCGTTTCCAGTAGGCTTTGGCTTTTGTTGCCAAAGGATCCCTTTGCCTTCCTTCCAGGTCAGTTTGGGGGTTGCTTTTCATGAGTCAGCATCTTCAAGGCCTTTGCGTTACAGACAGGCTAATCCTGGTGCTTATCGATTTTGTCAATACAATCTTGTGGGCTACATATGACATTTAAGATTTTCTATCTGCTATATTTAAAAAAGCAAAGAGAAAAATGAAACTAGCTTTAATTATGTTTGGTAGCCCAATATATTAAAAATGTCATTTTCACCTGTAATTAATATTTAAAAGATTAACTTTGTATTTTGCATACTTTTTTCTATATGAATTTTTTGAATTTCAATTCATTCAACTTTTAATAAGCACATTTCCAACGTTTAGTAGCCAATTGGCGTTACCAGCTACCATTTTGGATAGTCTATATAATACTAAGACACTTACCATCTCAATGATCTGCTATTCAATTCATTTATTCATTTGGATTGATTTTTAAAGTGTATTTCTGAACCTTCTCCTGGGCTCCCAATGGGTTTATTGACAGATAGTCCTTAATTTAAAAGGGATTACCCTTCAGTATCCTCCAAAATATCAGTAAGAGATTGGATTTTGTGAATCTAAAGCATGTAAACCTAACATCTTAAATTTCACACTCTCGCTATTTGGGTTAATTGTTCAACTAGCCAAAATGATATAAAAATGAAAAATAGACTGATGGCTTCTGGTGGTGACAATCTCAAAGAGCAGAGAGGCTCATGGTAACTGAAGGAGAAGGTTCATCAAATAATGCCCCAGTGTTCACAGACCTGGAGAAAGCTCATCTTCTAACACACCAAAGCTCATAGACCTTCACGTAGCTGACTTTCTGCTTCAGCACCAACTGATAATCATTTCCAGAGAGAACAGATGCAGATGGGCACTGGCCTCTCCACACACCTCATTGAATCCGACCGAAAGGGACAGTGAAGTCATCTTTGCCTCTGCTGATTCCCTTATTGGTGTCACCATGAAGCCGAAGTGTTCCTCCTCTTGTGTGAAGAGTGAATTCTCCTGAGAACGGCGGGGCAAACCATTGGTACTTGCCTTCTTCCTGTCTGGCCTCTCTTCTCGCTGTTGCCTCTTGGAGAAGGATCAGATAAGTGACCCTGCCAGCTGGCCGCACATTTCCAAACGTCCAAGCAAATGCTGTAGTTAAAGTAGGGGGAGGGGAGGCAGGCTTTGCAATTGCTGCACTAGAAGACTCAACATATCTGCCATGGATGTGTGTGATTACATTCAGTGCGGGATGAGACAGGAATTTAGTGAAGAATTCATGTTATCACATCTTCTCCTGAAGAGCCCTTGAGTGAAGGCTAACTGAAGTCAACTTTCTACATATTCATTGTATGTTGAAGTGACCATTTTCTATAATCCTCTGTTTATTTTTGTAGTGGTTGAGCTTGGATAGAGTTGGAATTGACACCCAGTAATGAAAGGAAAGGAAGAAAGTTGAGGATAAATAGTGGTCGTTGCTGGCAGGTGCCTCGGTGCTGGAAGATAAGGAAGACAATTGCCAGCACCAGCCATGCCTGTGGTGATCTGAAAAGTGTGAACAGTGTGCCATCAGGAGCACTGCTTTCCAGTGACGCTGTCCATGAGTAATGGGCACGTCCTGTGTCTGCGATGTCCTGTATGGTGGTCACTAATCACACAAAGATAGTGGTTGGCGTAACTAAAACACCGAAAAAGCATGTCCTGGGAATTCACACTGGGATTTAACTCGGTTGTTATTAGCACAAGTTAATGTGAAGTACTAAAGGGGTCATGCTTGGAGGCGCAGTGTTGCCCTTGATTTCAAAGGTGGCTATTAGTAATTTCTGCCTCACCGCAGATTTGCTCTCTTGGCCAAAATCTACCTTATACTTGGGATCCAAATGCACTCGATGCATTGGGCAGTGGCAACAATTTCTGCCTTCCAGTCTCTCTGCTTTCTTCACAGAATAATAAACACTCAAACACCCGTCTTTCTTCCACAGAAAAGAGTTGGTGGTTTCTCTCCTGCTTTCCTAGTTTTGCTATCCAAACTTCCAGCTACCTGCATGAGTTTTTGATAACAGTTTACAAGGACTTGTTCACACACACACACACACACACACACACACACACACACACACACCTTTGTCTCTTTGCTAATAATCACTTCCTTCTTGTAGTCAATGCCAATTAAGTCTTTTTTTTCTGGCTTAGTGTCGAGCCTAATGCTTAACAAAAAAAGCTAAGCTTAATTTTCCCCCTGATCTCTTCAGGACATTTTGAGGATAAATGAATATATATATAATTTTAGATTATTGTTTCTGTAATGTTGATCTCAACAGGACAGCTACAAATAATACATAAAAATTTAATTTTAATCCAAGTAGAATAAACCAGATTGAAAGTTTTCTTTTTTTCTTTGTGTTGAAATTTTGGAAAGCCATTGTTGAAATTCTTATAGTTTCTGAGTAACCACAGGGTTTTTAAAAATTTGACTTCCTGCAGCCATTATTGGATCTAGGGAGGGTTGGCTGGCCATGGACATGCTAGATGACTGTAAGAATGACAGGGCTGGAGGGTGAAAGCCCAGTGATGGAGGGCTTCCCTAGC